CAGTGCAGCGGGAGTGAGTCTACTCTGAGGGGTTGTCGCTCATGGTCCTGGGGTCACTATTCCTGGTCACACTCCTACGATGCCGGCGTCATCTGTTCAGGTAAAAATTTCATCAATTTTTTCAATCCTCGTATTTTCGTTAAACCACAGTTTGAGAAACTCTGATAGAGATTGTATTCCACATTATGACAGGTTAGTACTATAAAATCTCTCCTTTGGGAAATCACAATGTAACCCCACCCCACCTTCCCCTCCACCCACTCCCCCCTCTCCCACGCCCCCAATTCGGCGTCAGCCACTGTTAACCGGTCCGAGACAAGTTACACAATTACAAATTGTTGTTTTAATTGAAACAAGTTTTACCATTCCCGAGCTGCCTTAGAATATATGTAGTCACTAAACTTGATAGCACACCTTGTGAAAAGGTTTGAGACATCCTCCTGTCGTAAATGGCGCGACATCAACTTTGAGGATGTTTATAGTGTGAAATTACAGTTGCAAAAGGTAAACAAATTAATTTTCAAACTTTATGTAACTATGTGCTGGATAATATGTGTTTATTATCTGAACTCAAACGGCTTTTCCTCCTGACGCTTAAGGTCATGCTGTTCTCCTCAGTGCCCCAACCCCTCCTTGTAGCCTTATTGGTGACATATTTTGAAATTTGGGCAAAAATGCTCTTCAATAAAGTATCATTGAATTTGATAATGAACCCTGAACAGTGCTATTAGATGTCACACAGAAGCGAAAGGCCTTTTATCAGGAATTATCCGTGAATTTTAAATCCTCATCATTCCAAGATGCTGCCACAAGCGAATGCGTAGATAGACAGTGTTGATGAGCATTAATCTTTTTCATTTTTGTATTACGAAATCGAGACCTTTCCTTTTGATTCCTACAAACATCTCTTCAGCGCTGGCTTCTACCATAACACATAAATCGCTTGTCTCAACAAGCTCTTCCCCAAAAAAGCGAAAAACTTAATGCAGGTCCTCGTACACAGACTTGATGGCTACATTTCTTTTCGAGCCGAATTTTCCAGCTGAATGCCCACCATCGACAGATCATTTCCTCCCGCAGGACGTGTTTCCCCGTCACCATCCGAAAACAGATGCATTACGAATGTTTTAATCATATATATATTTCGAAGTAATATATGCAGAGTTCTTTTGTCTTCTGAGACACTTTTCCCGTACCTGTCATTCCATGCATATCTGCTGTTGACCATGGAAAACCCAATGCCACACGCCCACAATTTGCGATTATACGGACTTGATAAGCGCTCTTGCCCACTCCTCTAGGTGTGGGGCGCTATATCATTATGTCGGCGATATAAATGCAAGTTGTAGTTATTGTTTTATTGCAGTGAAAATGTATAACATCCCTGAGGATGGTCAATCTGATATAATTGGCAGGAGGTAAGATCCCCAGATTGGTGAATGGAAGCAGCCACTGTGCGGGAAGAGTGGAATTGTACAATAAGGTCGCTTGGGGGACAGTTTGTGGGAATCAACTGAGCCAAGAGATGGCAGAAGAGATTTGTAAACATTTGGGATGTGGATTTGCTGCATTTGTATTCGGCGACGCTCACTTTGGGGAAGGATCGGGGAATGTTATTGGTCGACCTGACTGCGGGCACCAGAGAGACGCTGGCGTTTTCTGTTCAGGTACAGCCTTCGCTAAATTGTCAACACATGTTGCAGCATTAAGAAAAAGATTGTGCTCTAATATTTGATTTTCAGAGTACTTTTTAAATAAAAAGCCACTGGTGAAAATCGGGATGGGCGACTGCACCAGCACACACCACTGTGCAAAGAAAACAACTCGTGTTTCAGCATTCTTGATCACATCCTTCTGTCGCTCCTTACACTCTCAGACCACCATAACACAGCTTATTGTCATTCCCCTACTCATCCTCTTATCGTTTACACAGCAGTTACTGTCACTGTTCACCCTCTCAGACTCCCCTATTCACAGCAAGCGCTGTCATTCCAGTCCTCATCCTCTCAGAGGCGCACAGAACTGGTACTATTAAATATGTTGGGACGTCATTCTAACGTTTGAGCTGCGAAATATTCGTATATTGTGTTGTTTTCAAAACGCACAAAATACTTGGAGATATATTCATATTACTCAACACTGTCTGAGTCCCCTGGCACGAAACTACACGTAGATTGCCGACTCTACATTTCTGTTCATTGTTTCAGTTTTCGCCTGTTCGCTTTCCACAAATAATGATTCTGTCAATTATTAATTGCTTATCGGGATTCATTTTGTTATTAATAATTCATATTAATTTGATTCTTCGATTACAGAGCATCATTCAATAAGATTAATCGGTGGAAATAACAGCTGTTCTGGCAGAGTTGAGTTGCAGCGATATTACAGATCAGGAACCATCTGCGATTATTATTGGGATTTACAGGACGCCGATGTGCTGTGTAGGCAATTGGATTGTGGTTTCGCTTTGTCATCTGGTCCTGGAGCACAGTTTGGAAATGAAACAGGTCTTATCTGGAAAACTAACTTCAACTGTCTTGGTAACGAGTCCCGAGTGTTGGAATGTCCTGTGTCATTCTGGGACATCTTCAGCTGCACACATAACAATGACGTTTCTGTTGTATGTTCGGGTGAGTGAAATAGTAATAATCCTTACATTTGAGATAATTCCTTACCACGTCATTGAGGCGACTCAAAATGCTTGAAAGAGTATAATGTAAAGTGTAGTCACTGTATATTTTTTAAGCAAAATAATCATTATCCACAAAACAGCTGAGACATACTCTTTCTAACCGAAGCCACCTTTTTTTTCGAAAATAACACGCTGTCTGCTTTGGAGAATTTGATATAATATAAAAGTAACATTTGTGATGAGTTTTCATTAGTTATCAGAGATGAGAACAATCTGAAACGCTAAAACTCAGCAAAAAAAACAAATTCCTGTCTTCCTTGGATTTTCAAAATAAACCAGTAAAGCTTGAATCTGTAAAAACACATTAATTGTATTATTCGCAACGAGAGCGGAGTAGCGTAGATTCCAGAGCCACAGCGGTTACCTCTCACTCCCATATTGTAGCGCTGTGCTGATGAGGAACACCCTCCGGTTTTCAGGCTGTGTCGATAATGCTTTACTTCTACAATTGCAATCAGTTTTTCCAATTATCCGTATAGTTAACGGTTCTTGTCGTCATATACTATTTTGTGCATTACACTGGGTTACTGGGCTGGTGGGCAAAATATATGTGTAAATTTAGTCATTGCTAACATGGCAGTCTACGAATAGTTATATTTTCTGCATCATCATAGAGCTTTGTAGGACACTATCAGGTACATTGTAACTTTGGAACTGTCAGTTTGTAATTCGATAAAGCTATGTTTATCTTCATTTCAGCTCTCACACGTTTTCATTGTGAATGTATTGATTGTAATCGTTGCAGGTAAGCAGTGGCACTTACGGTTAGAGAGCGGTGGGAGCCGCTGTGATGGGCGAGTGGAGATTTATCATAACGGCACATGGGGCAGATTGCTGGACGATTCCTGGAATATATCGGATGCCGATGTCATCTGCCGACAGTTGAACTGTGGCTCTGCTGTTTCAGTCTACAACTCTTCCCAATACGGGGAAGGCAGTGGACCTGTGTGGATCAATAATGTTCAGTGCGCGGGAACCGAGACACACATCTGGAACTGCCCATATTCCACAGTGGCTTCATCCTCCAGGACCAGCCGGGATGTGGGAGTTCTTTGTTCGGGTGAGTGCACTTTAGTGATAAATAATAAAAATCAATGGAAATTTCAATATCGCTTTGTGAAATATCTTACAACATTCCTTCCTTTTGGGAGTTTTTGTTCATCCAATGATGTAGAAACGCCCCATATCATTGAATGATTCCACATGTGTTGTGCTTAATGTGCTGTGCCAAGAAAATGGCGGTTAATAAAGAATGAAGGTTCATTCACACTCAACAGATTGAATAACTTTTCATTTCAAGCAAAATACTGAAACGCAAACGATAAGTTTTCCCAATCGGAAACCTGTAGTTTTACTTAACTTTGAAACAGATCACAAACAGCTCAGACTGGTGGATGATGGCAGTTCCTGCTCTGGAACAGTGGAGGTTTACCGCCATGGAGACTGGAGGAGAGTGCGGGATCAGTTCTGGGATTTAAATGACGCGAATGTGGTTTGCAGACAGATGGGCTGTGGTCCTGCCATAAGATCCTATAACTCCACAGTGTACAGAGAAGGTGAACGGTCCCCATGGCTGAAGGATGTTCACTGTCAAGGAAATGAGACGAATCTTTTGAAGTGCAAACCGTCCAGGCGAAACCAATCAACTGAGGACATGTGTGATGTTGGAGTTCAGTGTTCAAGTGAGTGAATGATTATCAATATTATAAATTTCACCGCGAGATTTTAACTTATAGTGGAATGGTACTCGATGGCCTGGTGGCATTTTGGGGGAGGGGGGGGATAAACTCTCCAATAAATAAGTAAGTAATATAATAATAATTTGATCACTCAATACACGACTCTCTGTGGAACACCGTTGTGTGCAATTGGTTCCCGCATGTCGTTCACAAAAAATGCATGCAAACCTCATTAAATGATATACCTTAAAGCGTTTTGAGACGTTTGGAACATGTGTTAAGCTGTTACGTCAAACACAAGGGTTAATATGGTAGTTATTTAACTGTAATTTGCATTTGAGAATTTTCTATTCTTAGGTTGTTTGTGTGCAATGTGCGATGGTAGAGCCACGTTATACTTGAATGAAGAAGATGTGGCAGTTGACTGATAATTTGCTGTATTATTAGCTACTCAGCACATCTTTCCTCGACTCACTTGATCATTATTTTATACTCCATAAAATGCTGCATGCTATATCGTGAAATAAATTTTGTTCATTACCAACAGAAGTTGATCAGATCAGCCTGATGCATGCTGTCATTAAATATAATGTTGTTGATGCTCAACAGAGGATACTCACATCAGACTGATGGACCGTGGGAGTTCGTGTGCTGGGAGAGTGGAGATTTACTACAATGAAACCTGGGGGACGGTGTGTGATGACTCCTGGGGATCACGTGAGGCGGATGTTGTTTGTAAACAGCTCGGATGTGGATCTGCAGTTGATGCAATATCTGCTGCCCCTTGTGGGAGCGCCTCAGGACAAGTTTGGTTGGATGAGGTGAGATGCTCAGGAAAGGAATCAGCTCTCTCGGAATGTGCCTCGTCTGAATGGGGGCAGCATGACTGTGGTCATAAAGAAGATGTGAGCATTGTGTGTTCAGGTAAGAGATGACAACACCTTGTGTTTCACCATCACACTCTACTGATAGCATATCAGTCTGGTTCTGTTATCAGCGCTCTAACCGATGAGTCAGATGTAAGTGGGGTTCACCCACATAGGGTAATCAAGGTAAAGACTGACAATTTCGTACAGGAGGAAATCCTCTCGAGGCTATCACTACTTGTTCAGGTCACAATAGAGTTCATCCTCATATATTGGCCAATACTCCTCCAGAGCATACATGGCGATTTGATTCTGGGAGATTGCATTGCAGAATATGACTACATATTCCCTCACCACAGAAAAAAAATCCCTGCAAAAAGTATATTAGCTATGGTTCGGTTGAGAGGTATCAACTCCATTGCTTTTTGTTATCAGATATAAGGATTATTCTCAACTGATAATATTGGAAAGGACTATTGTAATGTGACAAATTATACTAACTTGTTCCAGCATAAATAATACATATTATGCAAAAAACGCTGCTCCACACGAAATAAAATGTGTAGAGCCACAACAAATATTTACCACTATATAGCGTCATCCCATGTGGTGTCGTCCTGGAATGCTTTACAGTGGCGGAGTCTGAAAAAGAGAGGATACCTCAGGTCAACTGAATCGAAAATATTAATGATAAAAGTCAATATTGGTCCACAGAGCACAAGATGCTGCGGCTGGTCAATGGACAACACTCCTGTGAGGGGAGAGTGGAAGTGTTTTACAATGAGACCTGGGGCACAGTCTGCTCGGACGTCATGGGAATTGAATTGATGGGACTCGAGGCTGCTGAGGTGATCTGCAAACAGTTAGATTGTGGCCGAGCTCTGGAAGTTGATGATGCTGGTAAATTTGGCGAAGGATCTGGACCTATTTGGTTGGATGACATAGCGTGTAACTCAAATGAATCCTTCTTGTGGCAGTGTTCGTCGCCACCTTGGGGTGAACATAACTGTGATCATCGGGAAGATGTGGGTGTAATTTGTTCAGGTAACAACATGCTCCTAAATGCACATTTCGGAGGTAATATTTATTACGTTTATATTCGAAATAATTTAATTCTAAATATATATTTCATGCAGAGAAATCTCCGAAAAAAAAGGATGGTGCGAAACAGTGCCCTGGAAGCTCACCTGATCAGCATCATTTATCAGGTACTGAATGGAAAATAAACCAATTAGTAGTACTTATATTTGACATCAAAACATCCAGATCAGGAGTATTTCTAAAAGCGTTTCACAGTACCTAAATTAAGGTGCATCGACTGCCTACTAATAATAATAGTAATAATCTTTGCATTAGATACGGCAATTTTCACGTCTTCGAAACAAGCAAAAGCGCTTCTCACAATAAACCGCAAAGTGAATGACTGTATATTCGAGAGCGAAACGCGGCAATCAATAATGCACTTCAATATCTCACAAACAGTCATGGATTGAAATGAGGAATACATATATATATTTTTGTTTTCATCGAATTTCGCGCAGCAATGTCCCAAAAGCAGTCGTGGAATGCGCGATCAAATTGTTATTATTACTATCGAAGGTGAAGGCTTATTGATTTGGAATAATAATAATAATAATCATTGCATTTTAGTATAGCGCTTTTCACGTCGGGTGGACGTCCCAAAGAGCTTCACAAACACACTGTAAAGTGAATTGACTGTATATTTGTGGGCGAACGCGGCAGCCAATTGCGCACAGCAATGTCCAACAAACAGTCGCAGATTGAAAATGACCAATTTTTTTATCGCTTTGGTTTTGAATGGATTATTATTAGGCTCTGTGTGGAGTAAGGAAACTTGCCCAAGGTTTCGCCCTCTGCCTGGAATTGAACTCAAGTCTCTCGCTTGCAAAGCGAGTGCTCTAACCACTGAGCTACTGGACTCTGTTACTAAGCTGATACCATAAATCATAGTTACTGCGATGAATATTTACCAAAGGAAGAGGTTGGGGTTGTTGATAATAATACGGAACAATGCGTATTTTATTGTGTGAGTAATTGACAGTGGTGTTATGAATATTGTGTATTCAGGACAGGTGTTGCGGTTGGTTGGAGGAAGCAGCGATTGCTCGGGGAGGGTTGAGATACTGAGCAATAACACGTGGGGGACGGTGTGTGACGACTCCTGGGATATCCGAGAGGCCAGTGTGGTGTGCGGACAGCTGGACTGCGGCCCGGCCCTGCGGGCTGTGGGACAGGCGGGGTTCGGACAAGGCGCTGGTCAGATATGGCTGGACGAGCTTCACTGCAGAGGAAGCGAATCCTTTCTGTGGGATTGTGTCTCCGCATCCGCGGGTCGCAGCGACTGCGTTCACAAAGAAGACGCCGGTGTGGTTTGCTCCGGTAGGGATCCGGTCACTCAATGTTTATCGACAAATTTGAGTTTTTTAAAATTATTCTCAACAAAAGCAGATTAATTCTCATTTCATTTCAAGCCAGAAATTGAATTGTTAAGGATTAATGGTGTATGTGATGTTTTACAGGTAAACCTCCCAGACAACCAATCCCAACCCCATCCTTTGGTAAATAACATAATTACTTGACTTCTTACTGACACATTGCTTAGCTTTCCTATATATTAGCACCAGGTATTGCCATTCATTCGTAAAAAAAAATTATATATCTAAACCAGTGTATTTGTCAAATAACCTTTCAGTAGTCAACAGTTGAGAAATGAACAGACTGTATAACTACATTTTAGAAATTAACAGACGTTTAACTTCAGGAAAAGAGCTGCATCAGCACAATTTGTCAGATAGTTTGGGCATTATTCTGAATACACTGTGCAACATATCATACACCGTGCAATAATTTGCTTCAGTTATCGTTCAGTTTAGTGTGAAGCATTTATCTTTATAGTTTCGAAAGTGTGACTATCACATGTTGTACAACAATAAAATAACAAATGTTATGTCTTTGACTTGCAAAGTCCAGCTGATCAACATACCTTTCGTGGTCTGCATCGTCCTTGGAATCCTGTTAGCGGTGGTACTCTTTGCACTGATTGTACGGATGGACAGTAATTCTTCAGGAAGAGGTGAGACTGGATTCTGAACTCACAGCACTGCCTGGAGCTTCTCTATCAATTCAGATAAAATCCTGTTGATACACGTGTCTCTTTTGTTAACTTAATACTCTTACCTGTTTTTACCGTCTCGATTTCATTGCTGTGTTCACATGTATCTGTTAAGTTGCACAAACTAAAATTAAAAACATTTGCGTTCAAATGCGTAGCTCAAACACAACCACAGATGCATAAAGAAACCAGCAGACACAATTAGGCCTCAACGTAAACTGAGCGCAATAACATATTTTTCATAAAGGATACNAAAAAAGAGCAGTTAAACTGACACAAAAACTTAGATACCCAAAGCATCACAAATACACAGTTGTATTAATACACCAACACACAGAGCTAAGTAGATATTTGTAGGTACCTAAATACAAATGCACAGTCATATTTACCGATTGAAACAAATACTTACGAAAACAAGTACACTGATGAATAATGAGGCAATAGTGACGATGATATATTGATATTTTCAAATAATAATACTAACGTAACATGTTCCAAATATTTACACATCAGTTTCAAACTCCATTGTGCAATTTCAGGTTAATATTTTAATTTCTGTACATGTCAACTTCCAACAGACGAAAAGTATCCGTCTGTTCGTTTGTATCAAGCAGTTTATGAAGAAATTGAGGAACGGCCGATCAGAAGAAGAAAGTTTGAGTCTGGCTCCTCTGGTACATACTTTACAATCATGGTTATTGTATCCGCATCATTGTACAAAAAGCATCAACATTAGTATCCCGATTGGTAGCAAATGCAAATGATTGAATGCGCTGTGGATAGGATTTCAAGCTTTTATTCAGAGAACTGAAAAAGCCACATCTTGTTGCCTTGTATCAATTTACCCACTTAATAGAGATGAAACCTACTCAATACTTCAATTTGTTCGGTCTTTCAATTTTCAAATATTATCACCGATGATTTCAGCATTGACCAATCGAACTTAGTTATAAGTTAATTTAATATACAGTAAAATAACTGTTAGATAGTGGGCTTTATTACTTCACCAAAACGAATCCTACAGAAATTAATATAAGCGATGCTTATTGTGGTTCTGTAGTCCAAACGAATATCTAAAATCATACCTTGTTGCCAAATGTAATCTTTAGCCTGAACAGAAGCAGTATTCCAAGATCATGTTAATAATATTTAACCAACATTTGACCTACATTACATTGCTGAGCGGTTTACCATATATTCATTCATGAAAAGTGATCCACGATTTTTGGAAAAAAATCTCATATTTTGGTATCTTTCTGTATTTTGATATAGGTATAGAATTAGACTCTAAGAAATTCCGTAACTGGACAGTAATGACATTATTTGCTCAGTTTCAGGATCCAACGATTCTATCAGTAAACTGGAGTACTACACTGGGGAGAGTGTGAATGGATCTGATGCAGAACAAGAAAACGCTGAGGTGTATCTTCCGAATGGCGATGGTGAGTGTGCGGAATAATTATTGTATGTGATACAGCCTCTGATCAATTCGACGAGACGTTTCAAAGCACTTCACATATGTTTACAGTGATTTTTAGTGATTGTATATCTCTTGGTGAACTGGAAAGGCAATTTGTGCGCAAAATATGCACAGTAATCAGGAGGAATGTGGGGCAAACCTCCGGTTTAAGAACTATTTCCCTTTTGAGATTTGCAATATTTAAATACCAGCTGAACATCCAAACGGAGCTCAACGCACTGCACTGCCGTGGAGTGTTATCCAGAGTGTGATCTTAGTCCCCGAGTGGATTGCAATCAGAACCTTCCGACCCAGAGGCTAAAGAGCTCTCAATTTATCCAGTTGTCACTGGAAGTCAAGCTTTAATCTTCAGATAAAGTATCTAAAAAGAAATTCAGGATTTTTCAGTAGTTCAGGCATAAGACACCTTGAGCACCACTGTGTCCAAATTTGGGTGGATATGGATAGACATTTGTGGAAGACAATGTTGCAGGGCTGTGGGGAGAGCGCGGAGGAGTTGGAGTAATTTTGGTCGCTCTTTCAATAGATGGACTGAATGGCCTCCTTCTGTGCTGTATATTATTATGATATCTGCCTCCTTTTTCCATCTGAATGTTTGAGTGCGTAAGACTGACTCCCTGTTAACAGATCATCTTCAGGAAGATTACGACGACGCTGAGAGGGGATCCTTCCAGATGGCGGAAAGTGGCCTCCTCCTGGTCACTGACACACACCCTGATGTCCCCGCACTGACCAGTCACACTGTCCCGGAAGCCTCGCTCTGTCAGGGTAACAGCCGAACTGTCATGTCTTAACTTACTGCGGGAGATATTTAATCAGCAACACACCTGGGAGTAAAAATCATCATCACAGTCGCAATTATCATCAATCTTCCATTCCATACAGAAATGTAATGGCATAAAGACAACAGGAATCACAATTGTGCAGTGCTTTTCAAGTCAGGATGTCTCGGATAGGCTTCAATGTGTAGTGACTGTATGTGTAGGCGAGTTGGTACGTGTTTGCAGCAAGGGCTTGGTAATCGGGCAGCTGGAGATATTTGGCCTTGGCTGTGATATCTAAAATCAGAATAATTACGGGTCGATGTGCAATCTGAAACGGATTTTTCAGAGTTTGATGAATTCATCTCCGAGGCGCTCTGTAATGCCAATAATTGCACATACAGAATGGTGCTCCGTGTAGTGTCAATAACTGCACGAATAAAATGGTGCTGGACTGATCGATTAACGCAGTTATCCTTGTTTCTGCGTCATGTTAATAACAACCTAGATGTTGTAAAGGAAATAATCGTTTACAACACTATCATGAATTATTTAAATGAATGTTCAAAAATTACTCATCCCATTAAAATTTAAAAAGTGAGGAGGAATTCTATCTTGAACACCCAACCCTTCAAGTGACGATATTTTGATTACAGCGATGGAGTTAAACCACACAGTCAAAAATACAAGATGGTTTTCTTTCCAGTCTGTATTTCTCTCTCTCTCTCTCTTTCTCTCACACACACACACACTCGCACGCAGAGACACACACAGACAACTCAACAAACACAGTCAGACATTCACAGACTTACACATATGGACAATCGCACAGACACACACACATACAGACAGACACAAAGCACGCAGACAAACACAAACCCACACAGTGTCTCTGATCTTGAAATAATCGGTAATAATAATAATAATAATCCTTGCATTTGATATAGCGCTTTTCACGTGGGGACGACGTCCCAGAGCGTTTCACAGAACACACTGTAAAGTGAATTGACTGTATATTTGTGGGCGAACGCTGCAGCCGATTGCGCACAGCAATGTCCCACAAACAGTCGTAGATTGAAAATGACCAATTTTTATTATTATTTTTGGTTTTGGAGGGATTATTATTAGGCGTGTAAATAAATGATGGTTCTCTCTACAGAGGGTGGACACCACACAGACAGTGACCCGCTGTTTCCTGTTGACTCCAGTCAGTGTGATTATGATTATGATGATATAGACTGTGAAAATAACACCGAGAAGAACCGACAGCTTCCCATTGGGAATCAAAGGGAATCTCCTGAGCTCTGCACCGTCTGATCGCAACATCCACATCAAACAGGTGAGTTGAGGTCTTCATGATTTACAGCATTATTTACATCATAGAAAGCCGCCAATGATTAATATTATCGTCCTGGTGACCTGTGTACTAGTAGTCACAGTTACAGGTGATTGTAATGGTTATACATCTTGACCAGTACCGGTCAGTGATTTTAATAATTCACAATCCTGACCTGAGGCTGATATTAGACAGAATGGCAGTGATCATGTGCAGCTGTCAAACATGTATTCACGCCAATTGATGATGAACTAAAATTAAAAACTTCTTGTCAGCAACTTCACAGTGATGTGATCCATGGTTGGATGCGACTAAAACGTTAGTTTATATTTACCATTCCAAACTGTTGTAAATTATTTTCTTTATTTGACTCAGAGATTATTGTTCCTATACTTCACTCGCAGAACTTTTAATTTATTTTCCTGAATCAAAATTTAATTTCACATTCTGCTATTTGAGCGTAAAAAGTCCTTCTTCCTTTGTAAATGTGGTATCAAATGGCAGAAACATTAACTAAAACAGTTGGAAACAATCTCTCAAACAGCAGCCGGTGAATGAAACCCAAGTAACAGCCCCAGAGATTGTCATAGCCAATGTGCTGTACTTTAGGTTGTTATAAATGGATCAATATTATGTTATTGATGAGAATAAACTTATTTCCTTCAAATAATATCTTTTATTGTCTATTTTACAGAGCCATTCAACCGAAATTTCATCACCAATAATTACTGATTATCTTTAGATAGAAAACCAGTGGATAAAATGAATATACACGTTCCACCAACTTACCAACGCGATTAATATGAAACCGTGTCACATCTTTCTGTGATAGCAAGTTTCCATGTGTGTTCTGTGTAAAACATTATTCTGTGATTTTCAGAATGATTTGTTTGCATTTCAGGGTGAATATAATGCATATTCTAAACATTGCAGTAAACTGACGCCTTCGCTAGTGTTATCATATTACACAGAAAATGGTTTGTATTTTTTATCCTTTTCTAATTTGTTTTGAATTTACTTTTATGCTTACGATTCTACACTGCAATAGCGCTTAAGAATTTTTTTTCTTTTCTCGTCATTTTAAAACATTTATGGTGATAAAATTATAAGATAACTGGACATAATTGTTTAGTTATTTTTGTTGAATTATATCAATCATGTTATTTTATCTCCTAAAATGAGTCATTGGTCAGTTGGTTAAAAATAGATCCAGTTTCAGATGAAACTTGTATCGGAACCAGAAAGGTCTATGTTGATTCTGTAAACCACGGCGAGTATTAGTTTTGGAAATAATGGTAAAAGTACAAGAGCAAACAAAAGAGAATTGATGTTATGACAGCACCCACCATGTGTCACAAGAGAGATATCTGCTCTTGACTGTTTATCTAATTAACAAACAGATTGTAAATGGTGAGTTAAAATCAAATAGACTTCAATAAATATCAAATGGTCATGTAACCGCCCAGTTGTTTGTCATTGTTTTCAAGTGCAGAACACACAAACCACTTACATCTGTCTGTCCCTGACCACAATAGTTGCAGAAGAATTAACAGGTTCGTGATCTGAAATTCGGTGTGATTCTCACGAAATACAGCCTGGATCACTGAAGAGGTGTGAGGTAGAGGGCAGTGATGTGGGGTAGAGTGCAGTGATGTGGGGTAGAGGCCAGTGATGTGTAGCAGAGGGCAGTGATGTGGGGTAGAGGGCGGTGATGTGGGGAAGAGGGAAGTGATGTGGGTTAGAGGGTAGTGATGTGGATTAGAGGGCAGTTATGTGGGGTAGAGTGTAGAGATGTGGGGTAGAGCACAGTGATATGGATTAGAGTGCAATGATGTGGGGTAGAGTGTAGTGATGTGGAGTAGAGGGCAATGATTTGGGGTAGAGGGTAATGATGTGGATTAGAGGGCAGTGATGTGGAGTAGAGGGCAATGCTATGGGGTAGAGGGTAATGATGTGGATTAGAAGGCAGTGATGTTGGGTTGTTCAATCCCGGCTGCTCGAGCGCAGATGGCAAAAACTGGCCTGACAGGTCATCACCAACTGTGGCTCGAGCATCTCCACAGCTGCAGACTCTCTTTGACGCGTGCGAAAACGGCCTTCTTCTCCAACATCATCCTGGAGACAGAAAAACTATTCTAAAGGCCTTTTTTTCCACTACCCATTACCTCCTCCGCTCGCTCCCTCAGGCCTTCACAATCTTCACATCGACCGCCATGTGCGAGGAGGTCATGGACTTCTTTTCAACTATAGTAAATATGTCCGCCTGGCAGCCTCATGCTCCTGCGTCTTGTCACACACTAGCACTGCATCTTCGTGCCCCTCAGCCTCCCACCTCTCTTCCTACATTCAGGGCCGCGCCTTTGTTCACCTCCTTCTCCCTCCCCCTGGCTCCGCTTCGGTAATCTTTATTATGAAGCGCTCTGAGACGCCGTCGGGCGTGGAGGGCGCTACACAAATCTAAGTTTTTGTTTTTGATTGTCCATCAACTCCAAAGTCTTTGAACTCCAATATCTGTCTCCCTCCCGGGGTACCCGTGGCCTCCTGAGGCTCTGAGCTCCAATATCTGTGCCCTGCCCTGGGTACCAGTGCCCTACTGTGGCTCTGTGCTCCAATGTCTGTGCCCTGCCCTGGGTACCCGTGGCCTCCTGAGGTTCTGAGCTCCAATGCGTGCGCTCTGCCCTGTGTACTCGTGGCCTCCTGAGGTTCTGAGCTCCAAAATCTGTGCTGTGCCCTGGGTACATGACCTCCAGAGGCTCTGAGCTCCAATGTATGTGCCCTCCTCTGGTTACACATGGAGACCTGAGGCTCTGAGCTCCAATGTATGTGCCCTCCTCTGGTTACACATGGAGACCTGAGGCTCTGAGCTCCAATGTTTTTGCTGCTGTGCGATTATCTGCTTCAGTCTGAATACAATTTAATGTTTTATGTATTTAATTTCCCCCTCTCTGAAATAAACTCACTTTACTGTTGTCTCTCTTTTGTGAATCATAACTAACATCCAGTGCTACAGGAAAAGACTGGTGAAATGGACAAAGCACGTTTTGCATTCAAAGACACGTTCAACAAAGGTCTCTCTTCTGTGCTATAAATGGTTAACACACTATGATACCTCTCTGAGGAGCAAAGAGTTACTATGGCAACTGATTTTAGATAACATCTGAGCAGCCTGAGTGTTTCCTGCTTGAAATCAACAGTGTTTGCACATGTGTGCGAGAGAGAGAAAGACACCGGGGTGGGTAATTGGGTGGGGTNGGGGGGGGGGGGTGATGGGGGCAATTTATCTTCATCCACTATTATTAACACTAACATTATCAGCAAAAAAATAAATTTCCCTCGCCTTTCTGTGCTATAACTGCAGGCATCGCAAACACTGGGGATCAAATCACTGTGAAATTTAAACCTCAGAGGCCCAATTTCCAAGAGTTGTGTTCACAGCCGACACGTCTGCCCTCCAGAACTCCCTCATGTGAATAAGTGTTACCATCATTTAATCACACATATTCCAAATGAATTTCTTCTGAGCTGTAAATTACTCAGGTTCTGTTTGTGTTTTAAAGAGTTACGTGAGCAGCTGCTGTCAGATAACATCTGAACAGCTTGTTTCCTGCTTCAGACAAGTATTTGTGTGTGTTTGTGTGTGTGTGTGTGTGCGAGAGAGAGAGAGAGAGAGAGATAGACAGAGAGAGGAAGAGCGGGA